ATCAAAATGGAATAGTCCATAATTTATTAGGTACTGACAGGGCGTGACCTAAGTTCTGGCTAAGGAGGGAAGGGGCACACAGAATTATATTATTATTACTTATCTTTTAATTAATTCGTTTATTTATTTATTATTTACTTATATATTTTATTTATTTGTTTCATCTATTTTTGAGTATTTTACTTTGGCTCACGCTTTTGGTATTTGGTATAAGATTAGATTAAGATTATGGGATTTTATTTAGTCGTTTTTTCATTTTGTGGTGGCTTAATAGGTACCCCTCTATAAAAATATAACATGGTTTAAACAATATATATTAAACTGATATATATATATATATATATATATATATATATATATATATATATATATATATATATATGTGTGTGTGTGTGTGTGTGTGTGTATTTCCAATATTTTCCAGTAGTTATATGCTGTCTTGGTTATTTGAAGCTGAAATATCTGATATCTGAAAGTTCGAGTAAAAGTTTGTATTTTTTTTAAATATTTTGAATTTCATGTTTTTTTTTTGTTTTTTTTTTAAGCATTTCACCCCAAGCAAGGCGGGAAGCCACTAGCATGCAAGGGGTTACAGAGAGTTGGAGCGAGAACAAAGAGGTGTGATAGAGGAAAGGATGAAGAGACGGTTAGTGGATAGATCAAGGCAACTGGAGATGTCGATTGACATTATATTTGAATATTTGGAGATTATAGCTATCAGGGAAACAAGAAATAGGGAGGGAGTTCCACAGGCGAGAGGTGCGAGACATGAAGCTATTGGAGTAGAAGAGACTGTTACATTTAACAGTTTCGACAGTGAACCGGTGTGAGCAAGATGCCAGCTTAGTTGAACGCTTAAATTCATGAAGTCTGGGAACCAGCGAAAGCAGCTCATCGGAGCAGTTACCGTGAAATTATTTCTAAAAAAGACAGAGGGAGGCGACGGCACGTCTGTGAGAGAGCGACTGCAGACGAGATGCCAGATCAGGGCCAATTATATTGCATATCCGTCTCTGGATCTTATCAAGAACCCCGAGGCAAACAGAAGGGGCTCCAGACCATATAGGGTAGCAGTACTCCATGCAAGGGCGTTAAAATTAACCCTTTAATCCCTGACCACCGCTTTACCGGTGGTAGAGAAAAATGACTTAATGCTCGGCTACCGGTTGAACAGTGGTAGAAAAAATGTGACTTAATGCTCTGATACTGGCTGAACAGTGGGTAAACACTTGTAACTATTTTATATATCTACCGCGAATTTTGACTCAGTAGCTCAGGCAAAAGGGTTAAATTTATTCAGGGACTCAGGACTCAAATGGTTAAATCGTAACTATTTTCATATCTACCGTGAAAAATGACATACCAGTTATTTTCGAATTTTGACTCAGGAGCTTAGGCAGAAGGTTTAAAATTATTTAGGAACGCATGCCTCAAAAGGTTAACTTGTAACTATTTTTACATCTACCTTGAAACATTACATAACAATTATTTGCGAATTTTGACTCAGTAGCTCAGACAGAAGGGGTTATTTAGGGACTCAGGATTCAGGACTAAAAAGTTTAAATTGTAACTATTTTTATATCTACCGTGAAAAATGACATACCAGTTATTTTCGAATTTTGACTCAGGAGCTCAAGCAGAAGGTTTAAAATTGTTCAGAAAACCAAAAGTTGTATTTTTCATTCTGAGATTTAATCTTATAAAAATGGCGCCGTTTGGACACATTACTAGGCACGACAGCCTGTGCAAGACCATCATGTAAGACACCGTTGACGGTGGACATAGGTGAGGACGCCAACGCAAAAAATGTTTCGAAATGCCAAACAATGACCAGGTATGACTGTAGCAGAATTGCTGATGGCTGCCGTTAATAGACCGTTGTGGAAAAGAGTTAGTATGGCTTCTGCATTCGGACCCGCCTTACGATTACAAAAGTCAAGGGAACGATGAGGATGTTGATGCCGATGATGATGATCATGATATATAATTTTGTATAATTTTACTTATCAACAAAATGTATTATGAATATCGTAACATTGTTAAACGGAACACGTCTTAGTTAAATCACTACTACACTCGTCCAACGATGAAGATAGAACCCGCCACCAAAGTTTGTAAAAGTATTTTTGATACACCTTGGAAGTTCGTCGCCAAATCTTTACCTTTCTTCCGTCCGCGGCGACCGATGTAACCTGTGTTTGCTGGAAAAGAAGATTCATCCTCAAAAATATTAATGACGAAAATCTAATAAATAAACGAAATGAACTAACGCTAGCTTATAATCACAGGAAAAAAAACGTCTGGATTATATTATACAAATATCGCATGACCTTCCCATATTTTCGGGTACATATTGATTACCCCCCCTTTTTAAACGTTTTAACGTCTATTATTATAACGACTTACCCGGCGTTCCTATTTAAACTTTAAGATTGCCGTTTTTCTTTTTTTTTAGAACCCCCCACCAACAATCTATATTCTGTATTTAAATTCCAATAATACAATTAAGTTTATACTAAATTTGTGTTTCGAATCTGCGTTTAATTCAGCGTTCCTCCCATGAGACCTTGTATATATTTATAAATCAAATGAATCAATACCTAAATACATCTATCTATCTATCTATCTATCTATCTATCTATCTATCTATGTGTATATATATATATATATATATATATATATATATATATATATATATATGTGTGTATATATATATATATATATATATATATATATATATATATATATATATATAATCTGTGTATTATAATCTGATTGTGTCTGTATTGTCTTTCGCAAGATTTCATCCTCCCCTGCCCATATAATCACTTCAAATGTATCTAAGTTGTAACTGAGTTCAAAGCAGCATTAGATCTTAACGTTTATTCCAACTTAATTTGAATGAAAACAAAATAAATAAAAAAACATATGTATTTTTTACTCAGTTTCTTGTTTAAATAACTTTATAATTTTAAACTTAATATAGATTAAATTTAAAATTTAGAATTGGTAATTTTGAATTTTATAGTATAATTTAATATTAGTCAAAATGAATTCTATTTTAGTCTAATCCTGACATTAAAGCATTAACTAATTATTATATCCAAAGTTCGTTGTCAAGATTTTTGAATTCTCATATACTTGTATCTTGATTGGTCATTCCAGTAACAGTGTTTCCCCTTAGTGAGGGGTGTTTGATTGATTTGAACGTTTTAAAACCCTTTATTATACATTCAACACCATCACTTGATAAGACATCAGAAGTGTTGAAACAAAATGGGTATTTTTGTAGTGATTTTATAACCTATTTATGTTAGAATTTTCGAATAAATAAATAATTACATTTGCTCTACTCTGTATTGAGCACTCTTTTAAGAATAGTATTTGTTGGTTATTGGAATTTACTCCTTATACATCAATCTTATACTTGGGTACATATATATATATATATATATATATATATATATATATATATAGGTAGGTAGGTAGGTAGATAGATAAATAGATAAATCAAATAACTAAATATTAGTAAACGTATATTCGCACGTTAGCGTGAATACACAGATAAGCGAATAAATATTTACTCAGTTTAATTTAAGGCGTAAACAAAACAGTGGTCAATGTGGTTAGACAAAGCTAAGAAGTATATATTAATAAATATACATACACCTACGTTATTATTTGATTATATATATATATATATATATATATATATATATATATATATATTGTCATCCACAGACAGACTGTTTCGCTGTATCACAGCTCATCAGTGTGGCTATACGTTCGATGTTCTCTAGCTAGGATCGAAATCCGACTGAATTGGTGTCAGTCGAGGATTCAACCACTAAGCCGTTGGCGCACAGCAGGGATGAAGGTGAATTTTAGCGTATTTATTTTTAGATAAACATACAGTGACTGAGAGGACTCGATTCGATTTACCGAAGAGTCTTGTATTATTAGCCGTAATAGTCACTGTTTACAAACCCACACTTCCTCACCAAAGAGCTCAACCGAAATAAATTTTTCAGGAGCATATATATATATATATATATATATATATGGATAAATATATATATATATATATATATATATGGGGGGGGGGAAATCCTTTCTCTATAGCCCAAATGTTGTAAATTCCTTATAATCTCTCGATATAGCACCTCTTTGTAGCTAAATCTCTATCTTTGTCAGTAGATATTTGTTAATCTCTTATCTATCAGCTTCCATCATCTTTCTATAATTAAACTCCAACAAGGTCAAACAGTTACTTTTATCTCCACCAGTGGAAACCACATCGGAAGCGCAATTCACAACGGGGACACCAAATGCTCGAATCGATAAAATTAAACATCATAATCGATATGATAAAGTGTCGATCAATAATTCCCTGCTACCACAAAGCTCGAAGTCAATTTCGCTAACATTAAATATACGTTTATACTCTCTTTTGATGTTTCTTTCCTTGTTAAGGGCAAGAAAGTCATGGGGTGAAATCGACGGCCAATGGAAAAACTCTCTCTACAAGTCGCCATTTTTCATTTGGCGATCTGTTAATGGTAGAACATTTGGTTCACACAAAATGGCCCCCTACTGAAGCTGATAACCTTGCCTCTGCTTGGACTGATCTCTTGAAGTCGTTCGGTTTATACAGATACGAAAAATAAAGTACATATTTAAGGGGTCAGACTATGGGCGCCGACTTGGTCTGTTGGTGCTTTTCATTTCTTCTTTTTTTAATTAATTTTAATAATATTCCGCAGTTTTATCGGTATTACTAAAATTGACTATGTAAAATATAGATCCACCCTGTCACCAAAATAAACTATATATACATAGATAAATAGATAGAAATATATATATATATATATATATATATATATATATATATATATATATAGAGAGAGAGAGAGAGAAAAAGAAAATAAAGAGAGGCAGGAGAGAGATTAACAGATTTAACTTTTTTAATAACTGAGATAAATAGCCTGATAATAATAAACCCAGATATGAGCAGGGAGAGATAGATGGACAGATAAGATAGATGAGAGAGTGAGTGAGTGAAAGAAAGAGAGAGAGAGATAAGGAGAGGAGAGAGAGAGAGAAAAGATATAATGAACAAACTGAGATAGATATGAATAGACTGCGATAGAATCGATTAGGTTTGATAGATAGATAGATAGATAGATAGATAGATAGATATGAACAGACTGCGATAGATAGATAGATAGATAGATAGATAGATAGATAGATAGATAGATAGATAGATAGGAAAAGACTGAGATAAATAGATAGATAGATAGGAAAAGACTGAGATAGATAGATAGATAGATAGATAGATAGATAGATAGATAGATAGATAGATAGATAGATAGATAGATAGGAAAAGACTGAGATAAATAGATAGATAGATAGATAGATAGATAGGAACAGACTGCCATAGATAGATAGATAAAAAGAAACAGACTGTGATAGATAGATAGGAACAGACTGAGATAGATAGATAGATTGGAATAGACATATATATATATATATATATATATATATATATATATATTAAGAATTGGACAAAGTCCGACAATTTATGAAAGACATTTTTATGTTTAACATTCTTTTTATAGATACAAGTATTTAAGTAAATGCTCTGTTTATAATAAACAGTATTAAATAACATTTACCGGCCTGAATGTCCGAGAAATTTTCATAAAAAAATAATCGTCCTTTGACAGGATTCGAAACTGCATCCTATACGGAACCTTCATTTACGTTGACGTGCTTTAACCGACTCGGCCACAAAGGAGCTTTCGGTAGGCGAGGTCGAATTTACTGCTTATAAACTTAAATCTTCCATGAATTTCGTACATTCATAACTGCTCATGGCGTATCAAATGTAAACCAATGACGTCATACATTAAGAATTGGACAAAGTCCGACAATTTATTAATATATTATATTATATTATATATATATATATATATATATATATATATATATATATATATAGATAGATAGATAGATAGATAGATAGGACCAGACTGAGATAGATAGATAGATAGATAGGTAGATAGATAGATCGCGCCAATTGTCAAAATACCAATTGTACTATGGCAAAGAATTAGTTGTACTCTACATCTGATATTGTGTAGAGAGGAGAGAAAAAGAAATCGTTGGTGTATGGCAAAGAAATAATGAAGATGTGAAACGGAAAAGAACAGAAAAGCAGAAACCAATGAAAAAAGAAATAAAAAAAATAAAACACACGCACACAGACACACACACACACGCGCGCGCGCAACAATCGACCAAAGGCGGCTGGGCCGGATGTCTTATTTTTATTACTTTTCAGATAAAAAGAAATTGGGTGCATCAAGTGGTTCAGTTTTTCTTGATGGTAAACAGGCACGTGATCACGTGATAAGAAATGACCAATGATTTTTAACATGATGTTTGGATGACAGCCATTTTAAACTGAAAGGCAGAACGATAGAGACGCAGTTATATTCTTTGAGATAAAGACAAGGTTAAAAGCTAAGGGCCAACTGAGAAGGTTGAAATGTGGTCAGTGCAATGGGGTTGTACGAGGAGGCCTTCCGAATCTAGGAAGATCGATTGAAAGAAAGCCCCGAATCAATTTGAGATGATGTTTGAACCAAGACTGCATTGCACTTATTTAAATAGTTAAGAAAAAAGCATTCTTGAACGCGAATGAAGCTTCAAAGAACGGAAATTTTTTATCTAAAAAATATAAAATAAATAGTGTTCCATATCAGGGATAGAGCATATGCAAATATAAAAGTGGGCACAGAGGTCAACACCAATATTTGTGAATCTGCCTCCTCAACCAGAGTTGAGGGAAGCGTAGCTGACAAAAAAAAAAGGAAGGAAAAAATGACAAAATATGGCAAAAATTGAGTTAATGTGACAGAACTTTTCTTTTTTATTGATTGATTTATTTATTGCTTTATCAACATTTTGGGGGTTATGTAAAGCCAGATAATTATTTTTTTTTTTAGATTGTAAGAATGTTTTAGTGACAATAATGATTTACTGGGTAACCCGTAACATGATGGATGAAGAAATAGCATGCCTTTCCCAAGAGTATTTGCGCGTAAATGAATATAACGAACCCAACTGGAATTGGAACTCAGCTCTCCGATTCTGAACCATTATCATTACACCACCCGCACACCCAAGCTTACAGCTTACAGAATTTTGTTGTAGGGTCCTAAAATCCACTTGATCAAGATCACTTATAACATTTATTTCGACAAGATTTCATTGCCTTTGTTTTTAGCAAAATAAGACAGAAAAAAAAACAAGTGTGCAGAATCAATCATCTGAAACATGGGTTCTAAAACCGGGGCCCCTATGAATCCCGAGGTTCCATGTAACATTCCTGTGGGTCCACACACACACAAAAAAAAGCAAATTGGAGGTCCACTGTAATATTTTATTGATTCATAGAGCACGTTGTTATAACCTAGAATTGCAATGTCTACAATAATCTACGCTATATTAAAAAAAGAATAACAACTCCAAAACTAGCAGAAAACGAGATCAAGCGATGTAAGTTATAGCGTCCCTTTTACTCTGCCGGATGTTTTAATTGTAAAATTTGAATAAAAGCTGAGGATATATAAAGGAAGGATTATATAAAGAAAATTATACAAAGATTATACGTTATTTTTATAGATACAAATATTTAAGTAAATGCTCTGTTTTTTATAATAAACAGTATTAGCGTCATTTACTGGCCTTAATGTCCGAGAAATTTTCATAGAAAATATGCGTCCTACGACAGGAATCGAACCTGTATCCTATACGGAACCGTCATATAGCCTGACGTGCTTTTACCGATTGATCCACAGAGGAGCGTTTCGGTTAGCAAGGTCGATTTTACTGTTTTTAAACTACATTTCTCCATGATTTTCTCGGACATTTTCTCAGGCCGGGGAATGTTGTTAATACTGTTTATTAAAAACAGAGCATTTACTTAAATATTTGCATCTATAAAAAGAATGTATAAGCATAAAAAACGTCTTAAAATAATTGTCGGACTTTGTCCATTTCACAATTTTTATATATATATATATATATATATATAGCGTCTTGGATTGAGGAATCGGAGAGCCGAGTTCGAATTCCAGTCGAATCCATTACATTCACTTACGTGCTAACACCCTTGGGAAAGGTGTGAATCCTCTTTCTTCTCCTTCCATCTATGGGTAAATAGCAGGACAGACTGGGTTCTATAGCCTTGGATGGCAACTGGTCTAACCCTAACCCTCCGCAGAACAAATAGATCGTTCGAGGGAAATCATGGGAAATTTTTTGTTTAGAAACAGTAATTTGACTTTAAGCAAACGCTTCCTCTGTAGCTAAATTGTATAGCACGTCAGACCAAATGACGTTTTCGTGTAAGATAGAGGTAAGATTCCTCTCGGAGGAAATATATTTTCTATGAAATTTCTTGGACATTCAGGACAGTAAATGCTGTTAATACTGTTTATTATAAACAAAGCTTTTACTTAAATATTTGTAACTATAAGAACAATGTATAAAGAGAAAATATATTAAAATTTTTGTCGATTTTATAATAAAGATTATAATTTAGTATATAAATTAATTTAATATATTAATAATATTAATGATAATAAAAAAAAATCGTACGGCCAGCATCAACCATAGGGATCTCATTAAATACATCTTCAATAGTAGTTTCATAGAATTTTCACGCTTGTGCAAATTAATTGAAGCAAAACGAATAATTCCGTTATAATTTACATTTTTCGTATTTCTCCATTGAAGCATGACCCTGTGCACATGTTAGTACTTTGTATGTCCATTCCACGAAGTCGTTCCTTGCAGATTGACCACCAGATACTTGAATGGATTTAAACCAGGAGAGTTTCCAAGCCAGTCGATTGTACTTTGATTTGCCCACAGGTAAGGCTCGCTAGTGTGTTCGTGCAGCGTTACAATTTTCGTACGCTTCCTTGAAGTAATGTCCATCGCAAACAATGGCCGTAGTACAACTAATCGACAGTCGAGACAATAGTGTTTGGGCGTGATAAAAATTCGATGCAATCACGAATGACACAATATTTTTAAGGCCAAACAAATTTCATCATACACTCCGAAAATAGATTTATATTACTGCATACCACTGGAAATGACGTAATCTTGGGAAAAATAAAAATCGATCATACCCTGTCTATGGATAAAAACAAAGGTTGCGGACCAGTAAATTATCTATGGATAGAATAATTGTTGTGAAACCCTAAAGGTATCTATGGATAAAAACAAAGTTTGCGAACCAGTAAAGTTGTATATGGATAAAAACAAATGTTGCGAACTACTGATCAGTATATGATTAAATAAGCGCGAATCTTGATTGACTTGAAACGAGTATGTCTTGACAAATACTTGTGCTTCGACCGGCTGGAAAACCCTGAGATTTTCTACTATCAGATTATATTTCGGTTTAGTACTTGAGAAATATTCGCTAAATGGCAAATGTTCCATTCCGAACTTGTGTTTTATTTGAATGTAATAAAATAGATGTTACTTCTTTCGAATTGACTCTCGTTATCGGAGAGATCAATATCGAAAACGTTACGTAAAGTGCACGATACAAATAATGAATTTGATCATTTGTCTATTTTACGATTTATCAACCTTTTATGTGTTATTTAAAGCTGAAACATGTTTTTGGACTGTAAGAATATTTTTCTCGTTAGTGCAACGTGCATTAGTAATCGTTCGAGAATATGACTTTTCCAGATAGAAATCACGCTTTTTAACCAATAGGGAAGAAGATGGAGTCATGCTTTTCCCCCCATAGACACTTGCACGTAAGTGAATGTAACGGACTCGACTGGAATTCGAAATCGGTTCTCCAATTTCTCATCCTGAACAGCTATGACAACAGCCACACATCCAGTAAAACAAATAGAGCTTCCGAAGACGCAGAAGTTCAGTAAGCAACACAAACAGAAAATCGTGGAAGTAAAAACTAAAAAAGGAAAAATAGACGAATAAAATAATAAAAAAAAAGAAAGTCTAATCGACACTTATTAAGAAATTCAATAATCGATCTTCTTAATCGAATTCAGAATCAGCAAACTTGCAGAAAATAAACTGTTCAACTTCCAAAATCGATCGCCAAAAACATGGCTAAATCAGCATTACTAATTAACGCTAAATGAATGTAAAAATATTGCCGTTACAGTTTGGTTGTATAATTGTAAATATTAAATGATCTTAAATCAATGAGAAAGAGCTTCATTAAGACAGCAATAAAACTTAAATAATGACAAAGTCTGGCAAGTATACACTTATACACACACACACACACACACACACACACACACACACATATATATATATATATATGAAAAAATATAGTTTTAAGGTGTGCTATATTTACGGGATAATATCAGAGATAGAACGTATGTAAATATATATATAAACGTGGACATTGAACTCAACACTCAGAGGCGACAGGCTGTTTCATGCCAGACGCAATCGTCAGGCGGCCTGACGATTGCGTCTGGCATGAAACAGCCTGTCGTCTCTGGAGTGTTGAGTTCAATGTTCACGTTTATATATATATATATATATATATATATATATATATATATATATATATATATATATATGAATGGGTAAATATAGGTAGGTATACAAGCGAGCGATTGTATACATATTCATATAAATACTCGATAGTGTAAGAAAAAAACAATGTTCAATGTTAAGTAACAGAGCTATTTAATTTGTCAAAAATTTTCCTTAAATGATATTTAAAAATAAAATTAAAAAGTGCGACCTGGTAATATACATACTTATATTTGATATGAAAAATAATTTTATATACTGTAAGTAATTCTATTACATTTACTTGTTTTAAATAAATATATAGTCTATTTAAATTAACAGTGAACATATTTTAAAATTGTTAAATAAACTGAATTCTAACCTAAACATCTTTTAAAATTGTAGTTAAATAAAACGTATTTTAACCTAAACATCTCTCTCAAAGTACTTCAAGCACTTCAAAGAATCTAATAAAATAAATACAGTAAAATGAAATTAATGAGTAAAGCTAGAATATGTAGGTCATTAAATGGCCCATGTCCTTTGTACATACATGAGAAACTATATATTACTAAGTTTATAAAAAAAAAGTTTACTGGATCAGAGAAATGAATTAGCTATTTTTTGCCGTCATTGTCAAAAATTTCCCTTAAATAATATTTAAAAACAAAATTTAAAAAATAAGGTGAAAAAATAATTTTATATACAGTGAGTAATTGTAGTACATTTACTTGTTTTAAAAGAAATATAGTCTATTAAAAATTAAAAGTGAAAATATTTTTAAATTGTAATTAAATTAAACGTATTCTAACCTAAACATCGAAATAGAAAAAAATGCCGTAAGAA